CTGCAGGGATTTGGACTGGATTTTATGGATGAAAAAGGTGATGTATTATGGCATGTTCTGTGAGAAGTTCCAGTTGCACTACTAAATGTTATAAAATACTGACAAAAGCCAGCCCAGTCCCTTTGAGATCAACGCACTCTAAGATTTCTCCTGGACTGATGAAACTGCATCGCATTAGCTGACTTTTGTGACAAAACATTGAGATCGAAGAGGTTAAGGTGCTACAGAGAAAGTATATTTCACTTCTACTTCCTCCCAAAGTAAAAGAGTTTAACTTCAGTCCTAAATTGTTTCACCTGACTAATTAATTCATAAGGCAGAAATTTAATTTGGACAGGAACACCTGTGTATTCTGTGGAAATATTGTTAATATCAGCCTGGCTCACCTGCTTTTCTCTTGTGTATCAGCAGAAGCTGATATCAATTTAAATTCTTAAGCCATTCACGAAAACCTCTAAATGTCAACAAAGCCATTGGCTGTGTCATTTGATGATTTTAAACTACTTTGAGTTGAGCCCACTTTTTTTTCTAAGATAAAATTCAAGACTTTGTTTTAAGTTTACAGCACTATCTGAGTGTTCTCTTTTTCTGTAAACACTTAACCTTTTGCACATAGGATAGTACATGTGAAGACGCCCCTGCAAAAAATGATGTAGTATACAGAGAGCTGTCATGCTGGCCAGTTCAACACAAATTTTAAGCCGTTTGCTTAAAATAGTTGTCAGCAGAGTGCTTCCTTTTTCTCTTCTGTGGTACTGCTCTTGATATCGTGGTTTAAAACGCATCAATGAAGGATGCGAACATGCGAGGTGGACTTTCTTACTTTGCCACACAGGTACACTGTGGTGCCACGGTTGGCTGCCTCTTTGTCTAGAGCGTTGCCAGGTCTGATGAAGTGGCTGACATCAGCAATGTGGACGCCCACCTGTTGCAAACGAACATGGATAGTACATCAAAAGACTCGCATGTACAGTTTTACAGACACAAGTACTTTTACTAATAGTGTATTTGTACCTCGAGGTTTCCATTTTCCAGCTCTCTACAGTGCAGAGCATCGTCTATATCTGTGCATCCTGGAGGGTCCACACTGCAAACTGTCAGAGGCCTCAGGTCCTCCCTTTTCATCATGTCCTGCACCACATACATTTACATTCATTTATGCACAATTGTATATGTGCATGCTGTCAAATTATAGGTTGATGGACCAACTGATGACTTAAATAATATACCTGTGCTCCATTTATCTTAAGGAAAAAAAAAATGTTACCTCTGGTGTGATGGCCCACGGCATCTTAGGGAGGAAACTGAGTACTGCCTGGGAGAAAGCCTGATGAGGGACATCATGCTCCAGTAGCAGCACCTCCTCTTCTGTGTCCTTCTCCCCTGCACCTCCCAAACTGCGTACAAAATGACCCTAAATAACAAAAATAACAATAATAAAATAGAATGTTTCCATGGACAAATTGGTATTCCTTGAATTTTATATTTTCCTGTAAATGTTGTGCTAATTTTTTATATTAAACTTAACATAGAAATGGTAAGTAGATATGCAGGTTCCAATTATTTGACAGTCTGAAGAGATTCCAACTCACATTTGGATATCTGGAGTCTTTGGGCCAGCCATCAATGGCCACCATGATCCTCTGGCCTGACAGTGTGGATGCCTGCCGCGTTTCAATGCGGATGCGTGGGATACGGCGGTCTGCTGGGGTGAAAAGATGCCGAGTGGACTGAAAGAACAGGAAAAGAATAGGGATTGTCAGTGCTGACAATAAGAGGAAGCACAAAACTATCTGTAACTACTAAGTTGTATTAATTTACGTCAAAGACGCATATCAATTTTGAGGAATGTTCCATATATTATTGAGCAGCTTTAACGTACCTCTTTGATTTGGGAAACATTCAGCATGCCACAGAATGGCCTCCAGTTTCTTTTTATGATCCCCACCACCTTGCCAGTGGGCTTCCTCGCTGCCTCGGCTGCAGCTGTTCTCAACTGCTCAAACAACAAGGAGATTATTAATAACACTCTAAGACACCTTTATACATTCAAACATCTACACCAATACTTATTTTAAATTATATTCCAACTAAATTATAAGAAATAAAAAAAGCAAACAACTCAACTATAAGCAAATATACAGATTTATCTAATACCATCTTCTTCCATAAAACTTACTTTCCCCTCCTCTTCTTCAGCATCCTCATCATCCTTTGCGGTGCCTTCATCCTGAAGGACAACTGAGGACGGTGCCACCCACTCACTTCGCGGCAAAAGCTGCACAGCAACCACATCCTGATGCACTGCTCTGTTGAGGTTCTGAAGACCCTGGATGAGAACCTGTGAACAAATAAAAGGACCGTAGAGAGCTTTCAGCATTCTTTCACGATTATTTGCACAGAAAATTACAAACTTAGACTGTTCGACATGATCAACAGAACTATATATTCACAGACAGATGTACATGCACACAAACACACACACACCTCTGTGCCGTCTTCTCCCTCTCCCTGGACAAACACAGTTGCCTCCAAATAGTTGTCTCTGCTGGCCCTAAAGGTGCCTTGGAGGAAGGAGCTACTTTTAATTCCTGTTTGGATTCTGGATAGGGGAAGGTGCTCTGGAAATAACACTTTACTGCTAGTAATTTCATTCTGATGGAGGAGAGACAAAGAATACCAAAAAAAAGAGGTTAGGTTAAAAAGAAAATGAGATATGTAAACAGGAGAAACAGATTCAAGTTCAGGTACAGACACCTGACTTTTGTATGTAACAATTTTAGCTTACCTTGTCATCACTGGACAAGGCCAGGCGATCCACAAGCTCAGGGTTTGCTATCAGACTCTTGACATATTCTTCACCTATAAAAAAATTAAAAAAAGTATTCTAATTACAAACTGTTAAAGCTGATGTCATTTAAAATTAGATTAAATTTAAAAGAACATAGTTAGAAGGTCTTTTCTTGCTGAAAATGTGATACATTACATTTGTACACCAGCAGGCCGTTGTCCTGTGCTTTCTGCTTGTTCCCTTGATCATTGGTGAGGAGGACCACCTTGAGACCATCTGTGTCAGACTCAAATGTCTTCAGGTGCTGGCTGTACCATTTGACTGCTACACGAATTGCCCGGTCATTTCGGTCATTGGCACTCTCCCCTGGTTCACGTTCAATGAATGTATCTCTGGAAGAGCAGGAATTATAAGGATGGATAAAATAAGGTATCGAGCTTCAAAGTAAAATACAGTTTCATGCCTTTTTAAAGTGATCTGATACCTTGAAGAAGAAAAAGATCTTTCTACTTATTACTTTTGTGTGTGTTTATTTTTGACAATACTGTGAAATTTGGATGTCATTATGATGTTAAAAATGCCAACAGTGTTTCTCTACCTGTGGTGTTCATTGGTAAAAGTGTAGAAGCGTTTTTCTTTCTCGTGTATAATGTCCTTCAGGCGTTTGTAGACGGGTGCACTGCGGTGGCGCACCTCCTGCAGTACAGTTTGAAGGATAATCACATTGCAAATCACAGGATCTTCCAGTATATCGATCTGCAGGACAAAGTGTACACAAAGTGTTAGGGAATCAGGTGCAATGCTTAAAAGGAATCTCTTTCACCTAAATTGATGTCAGATATCTGTTCCAACTGGTTAATAAGAACTGGCCAAAAAACACTTTCTGAATATGGTCAGTCTTTTTTCTTGAATAATAGGCAAACAGTCACTACTGATCACTACTCAAGTCAGTAAAAACAAAAACAAAAAAACCCAACTTTTATTAAATTTGTATTGAATCTGTAATTGTTACTATATCTGCTGATCTCTCTGTTAGGTCACTTTTGAAAAAGATATATAGGTGTGTAAAAAGGAAAATATTGACATTGGCCAGAAAAAGTGTTATTTGTCAATAACATAAGTTTAATGGCCCCAGTTTGTGCTTTTTGTGTCTTCTTCTTCTTGTTGTGACTACTCCCTTTAGGGGCCCCCAAAGCAGATCATCTCACCCTATCCTAAAACTGTCTGTTACATCCTTTGCAAGTCTTCCTTAATTCAATCCATGAAACTGCTCTGGCATATTCTCTTTTGTTGCTGCCTAGCAACTCTGTAGCCTCAGCCTCGCCTCTCTAACTTTGTATGCAAACTGCTTAACCTGAACTGTCCTACTAATGTACTCATTTCTAATCCTGTCCATTCTGGTCACTCGCATCTTCTACTATCTACTACCTCGAGCACAGCCATGATTCGTGCTTCTTCTATAGTATACTGTACTTTTAGGGGCATCATCGCAGTAATTGAGTCACAAACTTGTACTATGTGCCTAGGGAAGAGAAGTCAAAGCTTACACGTTTAGATTACCATATTGAATTGTTTGAAGAAATTTGATGTCACTTTTTACTACCTGATGAAGCACCACATTGGTGTCAGGGACCAGATAATGTGGATAGGAGCAGAGACTGCTCTCCATACACGCGTCTTTCTGCAGCACCGTGGACTCCTGTTTGCATTCAGTGCAAACTTCACTCCCGCACCAAATATCATCCCTCAGATAATGCTCACGCACTACCTTCATCACCCCACCCGACCGGGTCTTCTTAACGAAGGTTTTAGACTTCAACATAATGACGATAATAAACCGAAAACAGATAAAATTCAGATGTTTTCTGCTACCAACTGATGGTAAGCCTTCAGCTCCCCATGTGTAAACTACCTCTTTGGCCCGACAAAACTTTCCAAAGGTTTTGAGAAAAACGCTGCGTCTAACTTTACGCGTTTTTGATCGTTTATATTCCCATTTATAATCTTCTGCATTTAGAAATCATGTCAAATAAATATCATGTTATGTCGAAGAACACAAAATTATTTTTCAGCATTGTGTAAAATATTATACATGTTAGAAGTTAGTTTTGGCTGGCCATCTAATTGTTTGTTGAAAACAAATTCTTAGAGGAAGCAGTTGAATTATTTGTCGCTGTCATTATTATAGCGACCCCCGTGTTAGGAGGGGGTACTGCACGACGGTGTATCGTTATCACGTACAGAGAACTATGTGGCGATTGCACTTCACGGTTATTACTACAGAGGGCGCTGTAGCTGAACCCACATAGAAATCGAGCCGGTGGCGGCTAGCAGGCAGCTCAGAGCGGGACCCTTGAAAACAAAAACAATTCTGTGGCTTCTCTTTTTGAGTCCGGGGTGTCACTGCAATTCAGCATGAAGTTCATGTCCTCCTTGTTTAACGCTGGTTGCCAGTGTTTAGCGGTTTAGCCAGAGAGGTACCGAGGAGTCAGAATCAGGATTCAAAACGATACAAAATGCCTCCGAAGAAGCAGCATCTCAAGCCGACTGCAGCTAACGTCTCCAGCTCTTTGGACCTAGAGTCTGAGGACATCAGCTTGGAGACTACCGTGCCCACCACCGAGGATGTCTCCTCGTCCGACGAGCAGCGGAACGGCTCCCAGAAGGTGACCCGCCAGCTGATCGAGAGGAAGGAGCTGCTGCACAACATCCAGCTGCTTAAAATCGAGCTGTCTCAGAAGAATCTCATCATAGACAACATGAAGGCCGATCATATGTCAAAGGTAGACTTGGGGTGGGAAATGGAGGCAGTGTTTCTGTAGATATCTGGGTGTAACTTTTCCCCTGGTTAGGAGAAAAACGACCTGGTACTGCAGCATCATTGTTGCAGTAATAGTTTTGTGATTGAATTCAAGCGTCTATAATAAAATATCTGGTGTTTCAGATTGAGGAGTTGGAGGAGAGGCTGAATGACGCCCTGCATCAGAAACAAGTGTTGGTCCTAAGACTGGATAACCAGCTGAAACTTACTCAGGAGGAGAACAGGTGAGAAAGGACACAACCAGAGCAGGGGTTTCATGACTAGTTATATTTTCCGAGACATAAAGACTTAAGTCTTTATGTGTGCATATAAAGCAGCACTCTTATAGACGTGGCCCCTGCCCCCATATCTCATTGTATTACATCACACAAGGATGTTGTGTCTGCCCTGTGCCCTTTGTAGCATCAGTGTCATGTTTGGGAGCAAGAAATGCATATACAGCTCAGGCTATTGAGCAGTATTTCCAACAAGGCAAGGTTGACATGGTTTTGACACGTACGTGATAATTGATATATCGGACAATTATATCAGTTATCCGTGCACTGCACGTGTCTAAACCATGTCAACCTTGCCTTTCTAATTTTGTATACAAACTGCTTAATCTGAACCATTTCTAATCCTGTTGGATCTGGGATTGGAGGTCAGGGTCTTATGGCGATGCCAGGCAGGAGGAAAACAGGAATACCACAGAGAAGATTGATGGATGCAGTGAAAGAGGACCTGCGTGTTATGCATGTTAAAGTACACAATTATGTGTGCTTTAACGTGCATAAGCAGAGCTTCTATAGTGCATTGTAATGTAATTTCTAACTAATACAACTACATATACCCTCCGTCCCATCATTTAGCTGCTGAGGTCAAATGTCAACTTTGTTAAAAAAAGGCTGTCATCACCAGGAAGCAGCAGGCTCTGCGTAAGCAGGAGATGGAGGCCATCCTGCTCAGGCAGCAGCAGCTGGAGGAGACAAACCGACAACTGTGTGAGAAGGCTGGAGAACTGAGGAGATCTCTCAGGGATCTGGACCTCTCCCAGGACAGATACCAGGAGCTTCGTGGTCTTCCTGAGGACAAAATATCTATACAGGAATATGTAGCTGTGAGTATGAGGTGGTCTTCTATTGGTCATTAGAAAGGACAACATATAAAGAAATCAAGAAACAAGGTGACGTTTTCTTTGTGCTGTGTCCCTAGATGCGTTTCTATGAGGTAGTGACTCCTCTGCGGGCCCAGCTGGTTGAGCTTAGTCTGAAGGACAGCAGTGTGACAGAAGAGCTGGGTATGCACAGAACCAAGATGAAGACACTGATTGAGGTAAAACACACAAACCCAACCTAGCAGCACTTGTGCAACGTGTTCACATAATTGTTTGCGTAGCATATCAAACACTTGTTCTTTTTTGTCTTTATTTTCTTTTGTTATGTTTAAAGAAACATACTTGAAACACTCAGACTTTGAGTCACTTGTTTAGGAAATGTAAAAACAAAGATCGCAGATGGTCAAGATGTGCTAAAAGCGTCAATCGTAGCGACTTTTCAATGGTCATGTTAAAAACTGCAGTGTTGAGAATGATATTGGTGTGAGTTAAACAAAAACAGTACAGTCAATACTACTACCAGACACCCCTTAGGCATGCATGACACAATGATGAGAAAATGCTGTGTCATGCTGACAGCAGGGTTATAATATGCCAAAAAAATGTCATGAATTCAGACTCGGGCTGCTGGAGGGATGTTTGCTAAGTAGTTTTCACCCTAAGGAGGTGAATGTGAGAACGCAAATGTCTGACACAGTCGGACCAGACATGCTGGTATTTAACTTGACGGTTCCATAGTAAAAAGTAGGCATGCTGTTGCTTTGTTACAGATTGTAAATAGTACAGGTAATATTCCTGTACTGCATTACTGAGTGGATATCATGTGTGCTTCCACATGTGCACTATCCAAACAGCATGCCTGTATTACCCACACAGAGTACTAACAGTAGTGTGGATGTCTTAAAAGCAGACTATTTCCTTGTGTTCGGGACATCTGAGAATGGGAAAACTGTGGAAAATATCCTGTCCTAATTCTCTTCTTGGCAAGAGATGCTTTAAGATGAAAATGCCACAGGGCATCTAAACATTGCTGTGTGACAGGTGATTTAAAAAAAAATGTAGACATCCCGCACCCTGAAGAACACGCAAGCCAATACATGCTAGTGTACATATTCTAATTCCTCTAGCTCACTAAAAACAAAGGCCTTTTTATCAGTTGCTCCTACATTGAGTGCCTGGACTGGATTCTTCCTGAAATCCTAATCTTTCAGTTTTTCGTTATTATTCCTTCCAGTGTCCAAGGAATACTAGTAGCAGAATTCCTAGTATTTCTTTCGGATGCCTTATTTTCTTGGCAAGGTTTCGGTTTGTGATTTGGAGACGTCTGGCTGTAAAATTGCGCATCACCTCGTGCTGAATGCGGGAATGTGTCTTATCACATCTAATAATAATAATGCTAATGCTAATAATGATGATGATAATGCTAATAATAATAATAATAATAGTCGTAGTAGATAAGGTGCTTCTTGTATTATCAGTATTGTCTTTTCTGTGCATGTGTCCTCAAAGAGCTACGAGGAAGAGCGGCGGTTGCGTACAGAGCTGGAGATGAGGAGCCAGAGATTGACCTTAGAACTGGCTGACACCAAACAGCAGATCCAAGATGGCGACTACCGCAGAGAAAACTACCCAAACATCAAACGGTGTGTTTGCTTATGTGACATTTGCTAATCAGAGGTCAGCTTATGAGCTTTCTATATTTCCTACGAAGGCCACAGTACATATTTTAGGCTCTGTCCTTGTCCCAGAAACACAATTTTTAAACAGTACATGGGGAAAAAATGC